TATGTTGATTTAGTCATTTAGTCTAAAGGTTTTTCCTAGGGTAAGTGAGCACCCCTTGAATATGTCCTAGCGAAACATTCTGTTTCTACTCAAGTACAGCAAACAATTGCACATCTGTACACTGACACCGGACGGGGTACCCGTGTATCTCCATCCTGCATGACTCGTAACACTAGTGTAGGCCCATTCGTGTTGGGATATAACAGCGGAGTACATACATACTAATATTTTTATAGCGCCAATATCCAGTTCAGCTGCTCAAAGGCGCTTTGTTTCCCTCGATCATTGGATATCAATCTCAACGGCACAATGTATTTACAACTCTTGCAGCCATTAGGCGCACCACGTTAATGTGGCTTTCCCATCCTTACGAGGTACCCATTCACAGCCGGGTGGACTGGGACACATAGTCACAGTACTTTGTTCAAGTTTACTGCACGTTGCTGTACCCGCAACTAGGTGTTTGGACGTATTCATGTGGCCACCATCTGGTAATTTACCAACGGATTCGTGGGTTTCTTTTAAGTGCACAGGGTTGTGTACTGTACACTAGGGGTTGTGACAACACTTAAAGAGTCTACACACAAAGTTCACTCCAAGGTTTTCACACCCGGTCACAGGTGGGCTCGATCCCGGCATCTTAAGCTCGCTGATCATACTCACTCACTAAAGGGGCTAGTCCCGATACACAACGTAGAGGACACGGTACCTTATTGTACGGAATGTCTTGTCATTGTCTGTCTCCACCCACTCACTCTCTGTATCACCTACAACGGTTTACAATCTGTCTGAAGAAATGGTGGAGCGCAGAAAACATACCAAATTGTTGGATCTGTTTGTAGAGGTAGAATGCTATGAAAAACTAATTCCGAGGAGCGAGAAAACACGCACCTGGTTTTCTCAAACGCCGGCCCCTTCATCTTACATCATGTCCGCCCCCGTCTTGTCACTATGTGGATCATTTACTACGTAGACCTGTAGTAATGTGACCTGCTCTATCTACCGTTATACGTTCCGTTAACCCAAGATACAACAATACATTTAAAATATGTCAAATGGGATAGTCATAGCATCATTAATCACAGTTACCGTTCGCTGACATATTCATAACTTAATTATCAATACAACAGATTGTGTGTTTCACACAAATTAAATAAGCTGCACTATAATTCATGTGACAACTGCCGAATGCTACTATTTCCAGTATTTGAATCCAATTTTACAAATTGCTTTCAAAAGCGATTGTATGCTCTCATGTATGCATACGTGAACACGGAACCAATCTTCATCCTGCTATTTGTCAATAATCCTTAGAAATACCATTTGACAGCATTACACCTACACTGGCCCTTGTGGTGTGTCGTGGGATACAACCAAAGGGCTGGTTGTACGAAGGTTTCATATATGTAAATGAAACACCGGTTAGTGATGTTTTTCTACAATAAACCTTCAAGGATTAAAGCGTAAATAAATTATGATCACAATACCAGCAACTACAACATGCGAACGCCAGATATACCATTATACCACAGAGTATAATACAGACAAACACCATTAACAACTCGACACCAGTAGGACCACCGACACCCAAACTATTAAGCACTGTAAACATTGGATCAGCTGAAATAGTACAACTGCATAAAAACAAGTACTCGAAAAACACACATAAAGAATGCAATTTGATGCGTCTATCCTAAAAACATGTCAAGTGTAGTGGAAGTCATGTGGATGCATATCTAGCTGTATACAGATTAGTCACGTGATGGCAGACTACAATACACCTTCATCACCAGCTTTTGTACAGTCATGTTGGTGTTGTCTGTGAAGTCTTTGTGCGTTGTTGCAGGTGAAGGCGTCACTAATTAATGCTGTTATTAGGAAAGGTAACTGACATCCGAGTAGCGGATGCATTTCTATATAAGTTGTTACAATACAGGACGGAAGCTTGCCTAGAGAAGGACATTAATTAAGTCTTGTGACATAGGCAGCCAATGGACACACATGGAGAATATTCTTATTTACAAAATATCCATGACTTTCTTATGTTACCTGGGCTAAAGTTGCAGACACTCAGGCGCACTTTCGCCTAAAATTTAGATTTAGTTACAGATATTTACGACTTAATGCCTTTACTGAAACTTCTCAATGTATCCGTTAATAAGGCTGCTAATTAACACAAGTTCCATGGAGCTGATCTGGATTTTATTTTGTGAATTCCCTGAGTCTGTTTCATCAAGATAGCTGTAGGTGGTGATGTCACTAGTGCCCGTGGAATTGTCTAGATGTGGTCCTATCAACGGTTCAACCAGTCTGACTGCGTGAACGGCTTGAGTCGGACCGATGACTGTAACATCTTTCTGTAACGTTGACCAGAATCCGGGAGGGCGATTTATTAGTAGTTTGTCAGTAGACTGAAATGCTGGCTTCTACAGATCTACAGGATCCAATGACAAAACCTTAGCTTAACAAATGCCTGAACGTCCCCAAACCCAGCGTTAGCCATTCCATACACCAGACGCCCAAACACTGACATGGCCAAACATGGTCACCTTTCTTGTCTCTCAATTCGCCTCGTGCCCAATTTCCACTCTTCGTCAATAGCAAATAATCCCTATCAGGACAGTGGCTAGACTTCTTAATTTTTGCTTGAGATAAAGCTACTTTATGTGACGGCCTTGCTTAAGGCAATGTTTGAACGCTTTCGTCAACACTTAGTGACAGTGCTAGTTAGCTGCTAAATTTGTCTGCCTTCAACATTTGGCGGCACAAACTGGTGATTCTATGTATTTGGGAGTGTTCAATTGATCATTCAGTGCCTAATGTTATAAACGTACATACAGTTGTTTTGTCATCAGAATAAACATCATTAACTTTACACGTGACACTCCTAGGAGCAAAAGGTATAGGCCCCATGTAGTGGAGACGTTCGTCAGGCTATAAGTATAAGTACGAATCGTTCAATTGTGTTAAATCTACGAATTACCAGTTACGGCCAAATCCGGTACGAAATGGCATACTAACTGCGTGTGGAATTTCCGAGTGCGGCCAGAGTAACTGGTTCCTGAAGACGTGGCAATTTTCCTCAAACGTCAAAACATATTCAATGATTAAATTGGCCTGCTCCATTGTCCTTCCCACAGGGATTCCACTAGTTCCAGGCCCGTCTAAGTTTCCGGGCTTCCCATTTCAAAGGCATTCTGTCAAAAAGTGTAGTTTTAAATTCAATTGAGTGATTGAGTTGACAGTACCAAGAATCCTCATCAGATTTGATCAAGGGCAACGTGGTTGGGCAAGAAGGGGGAGTTGCTGATGCTGACCAAGATGAGTGAAGGAACAGTGATGGTTTGATGATATCTCTGACAGTCAGTGCTCATCCTCGGGCCACGGAGGTAGAAGCATTCAGGAATTCAGGACTCTTTCAAGAGAGCTCACGACAGGCGAGAATTTGTCAAGCTTATGAATTTATTATGTGTTTAGAGTTTGCAACAATATGCATCAAAATGGAAGAAAAACAAAATTATCTTGCATGATAGCAGAGTGCTTCAGACCACATGATGTACATACATCCAGCGGACTGATGATCAGTTGCAACTAAATTGGCATTGGGTCAGTATGAGCTGAACCTCAGGAAAGATGCAGTCTAAAACTGTTAAGTAAACTAAATGTAAATCATGCATTATGAAAAACAAACATGGAGTTCTGTCCGTTTATAAGTGTAAAGAAGTAAATCTACAAAAAGGGATTTACATGTTATCAGTGTTTCAGTGTCTATATCATGTAAAACTAAACTCCCTCACTCATTCATGTATTGCCGATGTAGCGCTTAATATTAACTCACTCACTCATTCATGTATCACACTCGTGACAGGAAATATAAGATGTTATCATCTCAACTGAACATGGATAAGGATATACTGGTTGCACGGGCAATCAAGTGATATTTTTCATTTCCCCCGAGTAATAACAAATTAGACAAAAATTAGGAATTTATTCGTTTCTACAGAAATTACATTCATTATACGTCGATATGCGTTCAGATTACATGCGGACTGATTTCAGTTTTTGTTTTAACGATAATGTGCTCACATAATTTAGACGCTTTTTAATAAACAATTTATGCAACATTTGACTTCAATATGGGTTTGAATGTCACTACAATATTGGTATATCGATGACAGATACGTTGCCATGGCATCGGCACATGTTAAAATAGACTATCTTTCTCACAGACTGGAAATGCCAAGACACTGAAGCTACACATAATTTAAACATATATAATTTAGAGAGTCGCAGAAAGAACCCGGATCGGCTACAGTACAATTGTTGGCTGTCGTACTGTTGTCAGTATTGATTCGCTGCCTTAATCATTAGTTGCATACCAGCGTTTGTAAGGACAGGTAGAATTTGCAAAATTTCAATGAACAAAGTTTACAAATTTCCTTTTGAATATGATCAGTATGTTTATATATTGTTATTTTAAGGATTCTGTATGTACATATATGAGAAATGAGATACATAAGATGCAGATGTTTTACTCTTCAACTTAACAATTTGATTCCATTTTTGTCACACATCTTACAAAAGTAACACCCTTCTTCGATAAAGTAAAAAATATAATACAGTTTAAACTGACCAACAAGTTCAAGGAACTTACTTTCACTCGAATGTCGTTCCATCCCACAATCAAATAATGATATGGTTTATGGTCTTTTATATCATCGTATGTGTGTACAAATATTTGCAGAGGTTTAATCACGAAATGCTATTAAATCTCGATTTTTACTTGATTGTCCGAAACAGTTGAATACAAAAATATTTACATTTTTTACTTCAGGACCACAAGTGATACTTTAAAAGTGCTGCGTTTCAAAAGTCTTCCAGTTCCCATTCCCTAAACACTTGGCGGACCGCGACAGTTCTTGAAACAACCGTTTCGGAAATTCCTTTATGTTAACGAGTTACAGGGGTACAGTCTATGAAACCAAGTAAAGTTAACTTACCTATCACTGTTAGACCAGGTACTCCTTGCTGGACGCGGAAGCTATGCGGGGGTGCCTTCTGGTCGCTTCAAGCGCTCGCTCCTTGCTCAACACAAATGAACGCAGCACAATCAGGCGTTGCTTTTGTAGATCGGAGTGGAGACGCATAAATATGTAATCAGTCTATCTACTTACTACTGCACGTGCAGGCTCTGTATACAAGGCGAGGGGCGGAGCATGTATGCGCACGCAGCTCTCCGAGCAACACCGGAGAATCCTCTTCACTCTGGGTGTATTGATTTGACGATGAACCGTACAACGGGAGTGTGGTGAGAGCGCAACGGAAGTCAACGAGGAAACGCATTCAAGGGAAGGAACGTTGCGGGGGCGGACATGCGAATCAAGCCTATTGGATACATTAATGTATATGATGGTTGGTTTAGTTTAGCCTGTAAGATTACAAGGAAAGCTTCTGACAGATTGAGTAGTTCATGAGCCCAAGTTGTGTGGGCCTGACTGTTTGACAAAAACCTTTCCCAAATTAGCACCATAAAGAAGTAAAACATGGGTTAAGGTTTGCCAAGGAAAGCAGCTTGACGACTGTATCAACACTGTTTGAAATATTGTCCGCTTAACGAGGTCTGGTGTTTATTCCAGAAGCTCACAGGGTAGGTATTAGTGTCCTGTCTGGCAGCCTCAGTCTTCTGATACACAAGCACTTCTGACCTTTCACCTTTTACAACCGGGTTTGAGACACTTCAACAAAACATTGGATTTTACAATCAGTAGCAGATGCACAAAACAAACAAAATGAAAATTGGCAGTGACAAGGAAATAGAAACTAAGCCCTATATTAAAGATTATATTTTTTTTAAAATGTCTCCACACACAGGACGATTATATTGGAGGTCACTGAGCAGAAAACAGACCCCGGAATCCAGGCCATTTCTGCAGGGAACAGGAGACAGTCCTCGCTCTATATTTCCTCTCCTTAGTTTCTTAACACCAAAATACCATCTAATGTCGTCCCTGGGAGACCAAGAAGCGAGTGTAAGCATAACCAGCCAATCATGTGGCATGTGTTGAAGTGTCAGATCAACACGTTCTCTCCTTGGAGAAAAATGGGCCTTCAGCTTGTCACGTACCTAATTTGTGTCCTCAGAAAGAGACGTCGATAAACACACTCTTCTTTAAAGAACATCGAAGTTCATCGTTAAAAGTAATTTCAAGTAGTATTTTTATTCCTTATGATGATTCGGTGTGTGGTAAAACTGCCGATTCCTACGTTTCCGCTTCAAAGAGACTGACATGAGCATGATGGAAACCAGTTATAATCATCGTTATTTGCACTGAAAAGGCCACAGTCCTATAGTACATAAAGTTATGCTACATTTGAGAGGAATTTAGATCGGGTAATCATAGCATAGTAAATGAACATTGAAATATTTTAGAGAAGAACTGGATTTTTACTACTTAACAGTGAGGAGAATATTATCAGATTTGGATGGACATAGTCATATCTTTCAATATCTTTGGTTCGCAACCAGTCATAAAATGGACATATTAGGAGGAAATGTAATTCATCCTCTATTTCGTTTAAATTACAAAGTGTACATAATCTATTTTCTCTTGTTACATTCATATATCTGCCTCTTTCAATCAACAAATCATGAGAAGAACATCTGCATCGTGCCAGTGCTATTCTAAACTGTTTTACATTAACACAGGACAGATATGATTCAATGACTATGGCATATTTAAACACTGAATAATACATGCATTTGTTTAATAATGCCAACTAGTATCTTTTAGTCTTGTCGATTGTATGAATAACGTAGGTGATTCGACGTATTGTGCATTCCATGTAATTCCAAAACCAATAGAACATAGAAAGTTTTTTACATTAGTTGCCCAGTTGATTTGTCCATTTTTATCATATAACAACATCATATTATAACACTTCTTAAATAAGCGATTTGAAGGCATAATCAACAGTTTTAGCCAGTATTTAATAACTTTAATGCTTGTAAGAATGTGCATTGGATACCTAACGCATTCATCCTAAATCACTGCGTTAATAGTGTTAATTCTAACTCCGAGGAATTTTTGCATGCATACAAATGTTGTTGTTTTTCAATTTCGTCAAATTTTGTTATTCCCCAAATTTCGGCTCCATATGATAGAATTGGACTTACTTTGGCATCAAATATTTTAAGGAATGAAGAGTAGTTAATATTACCAAGTACACTCAGCTGTTATATAATTCCAATTAATGATTTTTGTCCCTATAACGCTGCATATTTTACATGCATCGTCCATGACAGGCCACTGGTTAAATATAGTCCCAAATACTTATAAAAGCCAATACACTCCAGCTTCATACATTTATATAACCAGTTTTCCTATTCAGACAATTTGCCTCATTTTTGAATACAACAATTTTCGTTTTTTCTCTATTTACAGTTAATTTCCATTTATCGCAGTATCTTTCAAGTTCATTAATTTGATTCTGTAAGCCATTAATCTTACATCAAGTTGTAAGTCAAATGTTTCTGAGAAATTATGATTACTTTTAATACAGGCCTTACATTTTCATACATATTGCATAATTCAGTTATAATTCATTTATCCCAACTCCTACTGATGTTTTGTTTGTGTGCGACGGAGTAGACATTGTTCCAGTTATAACACCCCGTGCAATCTTAACATGATGTCATGCAGGTCTTAGAGGTTGACCACGCGAAACCCCAAATCAGAGCAAAGGCATGCAGCCTAAAAGACCATGTATATTGATCAATCAGTATCAGAGAGTGAAGTGCATTCTCCGAACAGTTCAACATGAATCTATGCAATTTATAAAAAGTATATATCGAGACGAAAAATATTCCGATGTATTTGTGTACAGTTGTACAATATACGGGGCCATGTTTCTCAAGTCTTAAGTCAATAAGTTGAATTATTTACTAACTTTGAACCGATTTGGCCAGATGATAAATGTATCAGGGCTTTAACTGATTCTTTGTTGGAGGAGATCGTCTTTTCTAAAGAGATACCGAAACTTCACCGACTGCTGTCTTCTCTTGGTACACAACGCCATCGGCCAGCGTATGTGGGTAAGTTAGGAGTTTGATATATTTGTGACCAGCGACTAAGGGACGCAACCCTACAAAAGTCTTTACTCTGGCCTCCAGAACCTGCCCACCAGACAATGCCCTCTAGAACCTATCCACTGAAACCTGCCCTCCAGAACCTGCCCTCCGCACAATGCCTTCTAGAACCTGCCAACCGGAACTTGCCTACTGAAATCTGCCCACTAGAACAAGCCTACTGAAACCTGTCCTCCAGAACCTGCCCACTGAAACCTGCCATCTAGAACCTGTCCACCGGAACCTATCCACTGAAACCTGCCTACCGAAGCCTGCCCATTGAAATTTGCCCACTAGAACACGCCCTCCAGGACCTGCCCACCGGAACCTGCCTACTGAAATCTGCCCACTAGAATCTACCCACTGAAACGTGTCCTCCAGAACCTGCCCACTGAAACCTGCCATGTGTTTGTTTATAAACATTTGTGCGCGCTTTGAGCATGCCCCTTTGTGGTATGGAGTATTGCGCAATATAAGTACCCTTATTATTATTATTTACAGATTAAAAATTGTATGCAGCAGAGAGGGTTCGGGTGATCCTGGCACAGTCAGGCTGGTAAGGCTCATCATCAGCTCAGGGCCCTTGCCCCCTCTACACGCAGCCCAGACAGCGAATGGGACTTCTCCCAGGAAACGCTGCCTAGTCGAACCCACCAAGAACTTTCCGGAGAATATGAAGGCTCCCCAACGCTGCAGCCTTCTGCATTACCCAGAGTGTCAGAAGGGCTGTACTCCCGGTGGAGAACCCGGGCACTCTCCTGATCTGCGCCAAGAGATCAGGAGGTACCAAACCAAGGGCACCGAGAACAATGGGGAGCCTGACGACAGTGTACTTGGGATGCAAGCGAGACATTTCAAAGGCGAGGTCCGCATATTTATCATGCTTTTCCTTAATCTTGCCAATCACATTGGTGTCAAAAGGGACAGAAAATTCAATGATATAAATAAATTCATTGGCTTTATCAAAAAGACAAGATCAGGTTTGTTAGCTGGAATTCTTCTGAGGCTGTATATGGGCCTATTCCACAGAAGTTTGAAAGCATCATTTTCCATGACGCCCTGGACATGTTCAGGGTCGTACCATGGATGGACCTCGGAGTCAAAGCCACAGGCATGTCGGAGACGGTAGTAAAAGCAACGAGCCATGCCATCATGTCGTTTAAGATATGCTGTTTGTGCCAAGGAAGGGCATCCACTGACAAGGTGTTGGACAGTCTCTGTAAATTCATTGCAAAGTCGACATTTCATGTTAATATTCTCTTTAAGAATCACATTTAGGGGATTACGAGTGGGAAGTGACTGGTCCTGAGCAGCAAAAAGGAAGCCCTCAGTTTCACATTTAAGACCAGCCGACTTCATCCAGGCGAAGGAGTCGGTGGGATTGCTATTCTGTTCAACACACTGCATGTACACACGATGCAATGGCTTCTCAGAAAGCTTATCCACAAAAGACCGACTCTGGGCAGACTTGGTAAAGGACTTCACCTGGTTTACTCCCATCGCTGTACCGTCCAGCAGTACATTGCCTTCATGTTTCGAGCATTTAGCTCTGAGCTCCAGATTTTCTTTAAACGAGATTTATACTCGGCCCGAAGTTTTCTTGAATCTGGGCATTCTGGAGCTTGTCTCGAACTTGCATTCCAAGATAGGTGTAGGCCTGATCTTCCACAAGATGCTCAATAACTCCTCCCCTTGTAACCTGACCGATCCATCATTAGTTACCTTGCCACGTTTCAAATGAAGAGTATTACATTTGTCGAGTCCAAATGTCATACCAATATCATTAGAAAAGGACTCGACAAGGAGAACCTGCTCTTTCAAATTGGAATCTCCTTTGGCAAGGAGTTCGATGTCATCCATGTAAAGGAGATGAGTAAGAGGTGTTGGGGATCTGTGCTGAGGAGGTCCGGGATGGTAACCCTTCTCTTTATTGAGCAGAAAGCTCAAAGGATTTAAAGACAGACAAAAAGCAAAGGACTAAAGGAATCCCCCTGAAATATTCCCCTTCTGATTGGAATAGATTCC